GCTCTTCCTCTCCGCCACCTCCTCTCTCTTCCGCCTGCGGGCCACCGTACTCCTCTTCCTCTTCCGCTTGATCGTCCTACGCAACTTCTCGTTTCTTCGTTCTCCTCTTCCTCGCGCGTTTCCCTCTTCCGAACTTTACTTTCCCTTTCTCGCAATGCTTCTGCTGCGATGATAAGATTTCGGTAAGCCAGCGAGAAACTCGTCGCTCGCATCTCGGGTTCTTCAGATGCCGCCGACAAACGCCGAGTGACGAGTCGGCGATCTGCATAAGTAAACTTGAGACGGCATAGCTCTCGTGAGTCTATTATATTCTATAAGATTTTACGATAAAGGAAGATTTTAAAACTGGTGCTGTTTCGGGAATAAGATGGAAAAAAGAATGAAACTAAGCTTTCTTTTAATTATTCAGATCTTGTCTGCAATTTATATATAGAAAATCTGAAGTTCCAAAACAGATCGTTTTGTCAAAAGTTCCATCAATGAAACATTAGATCAATTATGATTGAGAGAGATCGGAAAGGAAATTTATCTCTCTCCTTCTAGTCCTCGTATTGCCTAGATTTTAATGCATATGTCAATAACGTTCATAAGACTGAAATCAAAACGGCGGATTTTGCTATAACGATTCTTTGTGTCGAAGCACATCCAAAGAGCACAGAACATCTAATCACATCGGACGTAACAATTCAGGAAACGACCTCCGGCTTCGATACACCGCCCACCGTTGAGGACAGCGCGAGGACAGCATCTTTGTCAACTCGAAACAATATTCCTTCACACTTTCTCTTGCTTTTCACAAAACGTCCTTAGATTCTCGTTGTTATATAAAAATAAAATAGGACGTTCCAATTAAGATTAACTTCGAAGAATTTTACTGGACGGCAAAAAAGGACGGTTTCGTAGAAATTTCTTCGGCGATTCTCTCTTCTTTCAGCAGTCGGAAACGAGGACGATTGAGATAGGGCGAATCATTGCATTGCAGCAAATGAACAATTGTCGTGTCAAGTGGACGTGTGCCGTCGTCAGACAAACGCGAACGACTCGAGACTGCAAAAGCAAGAAGATCGATGGCGTTCTCGAGGAATGGAGTTCCTGAAATACAGTCTCGACTAAGAGCATCATCAATTTTCCCGTATTAAATCGCCCTCTTTCGCGTTGTCGCTCGTAACGTCGTCGCAGATTTCGTTGGTAAATAAAATAGGACGTTCCAATTAAGATTAACTTCGAAGAATTTTACTGGACGGCAAAAAAGGACGGTTTCGTAGAAATTTCTTCGGCGATTCTCTCTTCTTTCAGCAGTCGGAAACGAGGACGATTGAGATAGGGCGAATCATTGCATTGCAGCAAATGAACAATTGTCGTGTCAAGTGGACGTGTGCCGTCGTCAGACAAACGCGAACGACTCGAGACTGCAAAAGCAAGAAGATCGATGGCGTTCTCGAGGAATGGAGTTCCTGAAATACAGTCTCGACTAAGCATCATCAATTTCCCCGTATTAAATCGCCCTCTTTCGCGTTGTCGCTCGTAACGTCGTCGCAGATTTCGTTGGTCGCCTCTTTCTAATCTTCGTCTTCTTCGATGCGTTCTTACACGCGCTGCGTCAGATTATTATTACTTGCGTGCGTAAATACGCGCCTCCGCAAAAGATCACTGGGGTGAGCTAAGTTTTCCGCGAAAAAAACTTGATATATCTCGTAGCAATTCGCACACACACAAAATGTGACACTCATCGATATTTTTATATTTTAATATCACGATCGCGATTCAAATATCGCTTAGAATAGAGCGATCTCGATGAAGTATCAGAGAATTGTGTGCGATTTTCTTAGGATTATGTTACTATGTTACTAATAATAGCGAGTTATCGAAACGGCAGCTATATCCTCGCTCTTCCCGGTAAAGTTCAACGGTTCGGTTCTTATCAACGCCGGTCGCGTTATCGGCGCTTTCATTTTGCCCGGCGGTTTTTCCCTTTTCTCCACTGCACCTCCTTTGCAGATTTGTTTTACGTTCGTTATCCTTCACCTGCACGTGTTCACCGTAGATTCTCAATCCAAGACGCATCTGCTCCACCTACGTAACAAACGCACGTCAATTATTTATGCTCGACTTTTCTTCTTCCTATATATTTCGTTTCACATCATGTCACACCGTATACTAGGAAGAAACATCATCTGCACAATTTCTATCACAAATCTCGGTCTTCGAGGGAAGACGAGTGGAGTTCCTCGAAGACCCTTCAAATCTGACGACAGAGAAAATATACATCCGTGGAGGAGTAGGCGTAAAAACCGCCGGGAAGACCGCCCGTTCCGAGAGAAAAAAATTCTTTTCAATCACGTTTAAAGATAAAATACCACGCAGCGAAACTATAATGTAGAATTTGTAGTATTAATTATCAAATAATCCTGTAGAGGTTCGATCCATTTCGATATTTGCGTACACTGCTTATTATCTCGATTCCTTTATTTCTTCAGCGATGGATCCCGGCGAGAGATGTAAAAACAATAGCAGTGAAATATAATGCAGACAGTAATGGCAATTCTTGAAGATGTGACCATAATTAATTAACTAATCAATTTCATAGGAAGAAATTAAAATGATCATGAATATTTTAACGAATATAAGATCTCGCGACACAGTGACACATGTGCAGTGTCCTTCGACTTTGACGAAACCGCATATTTCGTCGAAGAGATATGAGATGACAAGCGCGAGCACATGCACGTGCACACTTCACGAGTATTCGCCGCTCACTGACGAAGCGACTGTAAGTGTCGCTTACATCGTCGTCAAAATACTCGTCATACTTGTCGTTGTTATAATCGACTCCTCTCCGTGAACGACCATACTTTTAAATTTGCCCGAAATGTCACAACAGATAAATTAGATTACAATCACAGATTCTAATATTTTCATATAAATTCAAAATTGAGCTTGAGAATCAAGAGTGCATACTATTCTTATTTATATAAAACGTTATTTTATTATTTCTGTATCTTCTTTAATCTTTCTCTTCATTCTTGGAATAATTCTCTTAGATGACATGTAAAACTATTTTTGTATTTATCTTTTATCTCACTTCGTACATCTTTTCTTAGTTTTCTCTGTCTTCCTCTTTTTCTTCAAAAAAATTTTTAAATCTTTATGAGGATTATTTTTAAAATTTCTTTTCTGGGGCTGAAATTAAAATGTTGAAGCGCGTATTCTAGTATTCCAACATCTCTCTGACTATGATCTTCTCTACATATAGAGTTTCTCTTCTTCAACTGAGTGTGCGTACGTTTAAATACAGCCGAATGACACGATGCAACGCGTTGCTTAGAGTCTGTTTCATATTTCATCGTTACACACGCGCGTGCATGTAGGCGTACGGCGCGTGTCGGCGGTCAAACGCGAGAGCAATCGACGAGGGATCTGTGAGATCATGCGATTCGGTTGCGTAATTCGTGCCCGCCGCATTAATATAGCCATTGTTGCTGCTACTTTCTCATGTTTTATTAATCCACGTCACATTGCGTCGATCGGCGAGTGATCCTGATTCTCATTGTCTTTGTAAGCGCTCAGAAAATTATCCCGGAATCGTAAAACTATATAAAAAATATTTTCAGTGCTGAAAAACACACACTTTTCTTTCAACAAGTACGCAATCGAAAATATATGCTATCTCGAATGTGTATGACTCATTAATTTCATTCCAATTGACTTTATTACTAATTAACATAGATACATTTATAAATACGTAATAAAGATGAAGCGGCTGAATAATTATTGCTGCTCGTAAAGTATTGCAAGACCGATTATTGCGGATATACTTTGACGACGCTATGAGATAATGTTCTCTCTTAGTCTTCGAGAGCATTCGAGAGAATTATTAAATCATCTCCTCCATTTATCTGACTGCAATCAGTTACAAGGGCATAACGAAACGAGAGAATCACTGGTTCCTATCTTCTTCTCTATGATTGCTTAATTTTAGTCAGCGGGCGGCGAATAGATAAGTCGTTGCGGGTCGCCAAGATCGACCTTTCATTGAACGGAGTAAAATCAAGATTCGTTTTATATCGAGTTATGTCCATTGCATTAGCATAACTAAATTTATTTATGTACTATCTCTCTTATTTATTATATAATAATAAATACAGATCTTATCGATTATTTAATGCAAGTTAAATTGCTGTATGACGATGACAAACGTATCTTAAACAATTTTATATTTTTATATTTTTAATATTTTTTTGTACAAATTTATATTAAATAATTAATTAAAATTTGCATGTTATCGAACGAGGTTTACAAGCGCGCGATTCACGCCAACTTGAGCATGCGGATCAATCGCGGAACGAACAAATATGAGGTAAAAAAAAACCAACAGTCTTTAGCCTTTAGCCGTCAGGTAATAATCATATATACTGTATATTCAATGGTGAATGTTATCAATAAAATGGTCTGTGATCAGCGTCAGCAGAAACGCGTCAGTTAAGACAAAGTATCGATAAGACAATCTTATATAACGCGATGATATTTGTGCATATAAAGATTGTTTGAAAACCGCCAAATAATATTTCAAAAATTAATCTTGGAATAGCGCGTATAAAATGTATGAATGAATTTTTCTATGTCATTTATAAAGATTGAGCATAGAGATATTAAATCTCTAAAAAAATCCTGTGCATTATTTTAAATACAGAAGAGAATTTCATTTGTACATGAAAATAAAAAAAAAAAATCTACAGAATAAATATTTTAAAACTTACTTTTGTTGAAAAGGCATCCTCGCACTCCGTGCAGAAGAGATTCTCCTCCTTTTCGTGCAGCAGCATATGAGATTTGAGACTCGCCATTCTGGCGTATTTCCTACCACATTCGGGGCATTTCGGATCGCCGATATTATGCGTTGCCATATGAAGCGTGAAATTTGTCTGCAATGATGCCATTGTATGGAGTTACTAGACTGAATCAGACCATTGTATTAAAGATTAAAAGAGAAGCAACTTTTACTACAGTTCATCTACTTCTACAAAAGATCAGCCGACCATCGAACAGGTCTATTCGACGAAATCGTTTGTGTCTGTTTTAGCAACTTGTTAGCTGTCTCTTTTTTTGTTACAGTATATTTTTTTTACTATACTATTAATTAAAATTTAAATATAGTACTTGATATATTTATTTTTTCATTAATAAGAAAGATAGCAAAAGGACTTACTGGAATATTAAAAGATGCTGGACATTTTGGACATCTGTGTGGTTTTTCTTCAGCATGGTTTTCCATATGTCTGCGGTATAACATCTGTTTTGTAAATTCTTGTCCACATATGTCACACTTCAAAGATTGTGTATTCTGCAACAGAGATATTAATAATATATGATTTCCGGATTGGAAACTTTCAATTAACTATGAAATTATATTTCAATTACTTCAATTAAATTTTCACAAAATATAAATATTGAATTTATTTTATTCAGTTATTAGTGTGTGAGCATATTTTATAATAATTAGAATGGAAATAACAAAAATATTTCTAATATTAATATTGTGATATTACCTCAGTCTTTTTCGGTCTTCCTGGAGACTTTTTATGTACAGATGTAGATACAGATGTAGATTTATTTTTAACATGATTGTCAATTGTTGCCTGTTCTTCTGTCTTCTTCTTACAATTTTCTTCTTTATTTAATAATGCATTATCTTCTCCGATAGATAACAAGGGTTCTGTAGTTGCACATTCATTTATATTCTGTACTACTTTCAGTTGTTCTGTAATCGCAGATACATTCTGTTGTATTGGAAGTAAGTTTACTTGTTGCATCACAGTTCCTGGTGGATCTTCTACATTTAATTGAAAAATAGACTAAAACAGAAATGTTTATTATATAGAATAAGTGTATAAATAAAAAAAACTGTCTGCTTATGGTTTAATGTTTTTAAGGTGCTTTAAATACACATACAGGATGCAAAACAAAGTTTCCATCCACAGTCTTTATCAGTGCTGAAGACACTATGTTATTTTGTGGCATCAATGTAATAGGGGATGCCATAATTTCCAATGTGCCATCCTCATGTTCTGAAAAAGATTATATCTTCAATGATCTTTATAGGATATGTATTACATTGTACTCTTTTTATTTACTCATTTATTTAATAATTCTATGTATATATATATACATTACAAATATAAAACTTCTGTGTATAACTCTGAAAAATCTTTTATTATTGTATAAAGAGAAACATGTAAGAATAGAATATATCCTTCACAGTAATATATATAACACTGCATCTTTGCTAATTATTCATTTAGTATATTAAATATTGTTGATCTATTATCTTACCACCCACTGCGAAAAGCGTATGACCATCATCCGTAGTGATAAAACCAATCGGCGCTGTATCATTGGAATCAGTAAATTCCATTATTACGTTCTGCTCTGTCAACATGTTGGCAGACATATTCTTAACACGATGATGACAATAGCAATATTCAGATATAAAACAAAATTGATCCTGCAAGCTTGCACTTGCCCATACATAATCTGCTGCAAGTCAAACATAGGATGTGTTTAACTGTCATAATCTTTATTGTAACACAGAGAGAAAGAGAGAGAATATGTGAGAAAGAAAGAGAGAGAGAGAGAGAGCTGCCAATACATTAAGATAATTAAATATCAATCTCTGCGATTCTAACCTATGAACTATTTCGTTAGTTTTCGAACGATATTAAAATGAAATTACCCTTATAATCCTGCAAGCTTGCACTTGCCCATACATAATCTGCTGCAAGTCAAACATAGCATGTGTTTAACTGTCATAATCTTAATTGTAACACAGAGAGAAAGAGAGAGAATATGTGAGAAAGAAAGAGAGAGAGAGCTGCCATTACATTAAGATAATTAAATATCAATCTCTGTGATTCTAACCTATGAACTATTTCGTTAGTTTTCGAACGATATTAAAATGAAATTACCCTTATACTTTCAGTTGCGTATAAAAAACGCTGTCGATGAGACTCTTTCATTCACGATACATTCGCCTCGCAGATGTTTTCTTCATCTACCACATGTAAATGTCGCCATATGTTGTTCTTCTGCCACCGTTCTTCCTGTTCGTTCTTTCTCGTTTTTTCAAAGTCGTGTGAATCGTCGTTCGTTTACGCTCGTCACGGATGTAACGCATATTTCTCCTTTTTAATCGTTTCTCTGTTGCGACTAGACAATCGCTCCTGTCAAATTGACGCTTGATCAACATATATAAATTCATCAACGGCGTTCGCCATTGCCGCCGTTCGCCATCGTATATATACTTGTATATATCGTATGTACAATATGTACAATTATTTACGAGAAGTAGTAATGGATATGATTAATTATACAGAAACAAATGGATTATAATTCCAATTAATTACAACGACTTATGAGAATTTAAATGGCGAGGAAAAGAGAAAACATGCGAGGAGACATCAATTATAATTAAACTAAATTCAGAGTAATGTAAATAAAGTATTCGCCATATAATATAATCTGTGTTTAAATTTATATAAAAAAGATTCAGTAAGTCGTACAAAATAAACATAGCAGTGAATATAAAAGATGAATGAAAAATTGACGTGAAAATGTAGATGATAAAAACCATAGCTTTGTAATAAATGCATTTTTACAAATTATGATACGCGTCAAATGTTCTTGAATAATTTTCGAAAAAATTAAAAAATTACTTTTAAAAATTGTTATATATATATATTTGTCACATCTCTATGCAATTCATTAGAAAATGTTGCTAATTAAAGAACATATCCCGGCTTACCATCATAATAACGTTACTAAAAGATGTGATGGATATCTTATCTCTATAATAATCGTGAGATACTTTCGTCGATTGTTACTTTACTGTATTTTTGATCCGCAAAAATCAAATCGATTTATATCGATTTATATCGATCGATGCGAGTAATATCGATACAACGCAAGTGTTTATCAATGCTTATTATTTGTGGTTTGTGGTTAGCTATACGGATAGTTCACTAATTACAATAAATATTGTGTTAAGCTTTGTTATTTGTTAATAACTTGATTAATTTACTGGGGAAGCATGCCGGGTGCAGTTGAACACCGGGCTGTTACACCACTAATACAATTGATTCGAGAGACATTTCGTGGTGTAAGTATAATGACATTTACTTCAATTATGTAATCTTTTCTAATTTTTAATATTTTTATTTGTTAAGATATATTGTTATTGATTTATTAATACTAAAAGAATTTTCTGAACAAAATAAGTCATCTATCTTAAGAGAAATAATTAGTTACAATGTTTTATTATGAGGTTATATATCTGCATAAAAAATTTTGGATTTAATATGGAGAAATTGAACAAGAAATATTTTTAGGGAAAATATGTTGTACTTAAATTATTTTTCTTTATTCTTAATATACTTGTGTGTCTTCTTGATGCAAAAGCGCAGTTTTAGAAATTTTAGAATTTCAAATTACATTTCTACAAGATTTTATTCTTGTGCTAAACATATGTTATATTATAAGTTGAAATTGTATAAATTAATTTATTTTAAATAGGATAGCTCTCTTAATGATTTATGAAATTATTTATGTATTGCAGAAGAAAGTCGTGTTAGCGATTAGATATTCTGATGAACTAGCAGCGCGCACTCAACCTCCGCCAAATGTACCAGGAGGACCTTATCATAAGACTTCTCAGATTTATTATTACACTCGAGATGCAAGACGAGAAGTTGAACCACCATTATTGATTAGTGGATCAAAACAGATTGGCACAGAGTAAGTATAATTCACCAATTTGAATTTATCTAAAAGAATCAAAATTAATGTATATATTTTTGAAACATATATATGCTTTTGAGTACATAATTGTATAAATAATTAGCAAAATAATTTTGAAAGAATAATTTATAAATAGAGAAGAAATTCTTTTACTCACACATATTCCTTAAAACTCTTAGGAATGAATCTCCTG